GGGGGGGGGGGGGGTAAGTAGTTGTACAGAAATCCATTAGGTGATTCCCTTTTTTCAGATTTTTTCTGAGGACTAAATTGATTAAATGCAGACTTGAGGATTTTATCGGGATTAAGAGATGGAACTTCATCCAATTCAAATTTCCTAAACTCGGTATTCTGATTTGTATAGATAGATACCGTTAATCCCTCCTTCTCCCTTCCCCCCCCCCCCCCCCCCCACAGATTCACTTATTACGATGATCAGTAGAGTATTAAATTTACGTAACTTACATTGTTTGCTAGTTTGCGGTAAAATAGAGCGCTTTATTTTGCTTTCATTCCATACGTTCATCTTCCATCTCATTAGTGTGAATTAAACTCCTTAGATTGTAAATAAAATTAGCCATTATTATTACTGATGTGTGGCAGTAATTATGTGGTGAGATGTCACTACCCATTGCTATGACCACGATTGATCATATTAATCAGATGGATTGCATAACTCGAAACTCATAGGACCCAAAAGTTACTATTAATTCGTGTAGGAAAGCACTCAGCCATCGTATTTTCGTTATTCTCGTTTTTCAATTTATTTACTATGATTATCTAGAGACAATTTTTTCAAATCACCAATAACATTTCATTGGTTGAGAGCTCGCTTCATTTATTCTGGACTGTTTGCCAATACAGATCTCGCTTTATTTTCTTTCCAAACCTCAATTAAGATTATGCCCACTTATTGCTTCTATTTTGCAATGACACCAATAAGAAGTCGACTATCATTATTTTTAAGTAATGAAAGTGATATTAGGTAATAGAATTCCCGCTATCATTTGCTATTCCTTTCTTTTGTTATTTTGCCTTTTTTCGAGCTCTTTGTTCGTGAAGACAATTTTTTCTTCTTTTTTTATTCAGATACTCTTTTTTATGTGGCTTTCGACTTCAATCGCATTTCGAAATTGTTTTTGTTTTGCTTGTAGTACGCCCTATGTAGACCCGAAATGAGGTTTATTATTTCATTTCTGATTTAGCCTTCTCAATTGTTGATATCCATGTACATCTTACCAAATGCATGAAAGAACTTTTCCCAAGGGTCAATCCTGTCTCATCTTAGAGGATAGAGTGGATGTATTTGGTGGATGAATAACAATTGGAGCGTTTTTGTCGCAACATTTAACGAGTGCATTGAAATTACCACACTGTATGCTACCTATCCTAATTCTAAAGTCAGAGAGTTATTTCGTCCTCTTTTCGATAGCAATCGAAACGCTGCTTCTAGAGGGGTTACCTTTTTTCTAACTTGGCATATAGCACATAACTCTTCTCTCTAATTTTTAGCAATTTATCTCGTTTCACTTTTTTTGTAGACTGGTATGCTCTATCCCGGTATCATCTTGTCCGTTTGCATCTTTATCAACTTTTTCCTGTGGGCGAAGGGGTCCACCGCAGCAATGCCGTTCACAACAATTCTAGGCATCCTCTCACTCTGGCTCCTCGTTTCTCTGCCTCTGGTGTTTATTGGCTTCTTCTTTGGTTTTCGCAAACGACCCTTTGAACAGCCTGTTCGCACTAACCAGATTCCACGCGCTATTCCTGATCGAAAGATGCACCAGAATATCTTTGTTACGTGAGTTTATCGCCCACTTACCCTCATGTCTTTCAAGTGAGACTGTGGATTAATATTCTTAACAAAAGTTTTAAGTGATAACTGAACTGCTGATGCCCTGTTGAGACAACTCTTACCTCTTCGCTTATGAGAAGGAAGGCGGAGTTCATGATTGACTGGCGATTGGTTCCGACGATGAGAAGTCCAGCTATTAAGAATAGGGTTTTGTAAAATTTGCCAATGGTAATGAATACGAAGATATATATATATATATATATATATATATATATATATCGATCCAATTGATGATGAGATTTTCTTGAACACCCACTTTGAGCCCTGTCAAGTTACAGATTGCTAAAACTTCTTACTCACAAAAATTTGCTAGTCTATGCCATATTCTGCGTTTTCTCGACAATCAAATTCTTTCTATTTAGTGAAAATTACTTTCCCTTTTCTGCGTACACGATGGTCTGCCGGTTGTCTTCCCCATTTTTCAAATGTTGAATTTTGAACTTTTAAGGAATCGTAACATGGTTGTATTTTCATCTTTCGGTCAATTGATCGTTTGGTTTCAAGTAATTTACCAAACCTTTTTTTATATGCCAATCGTTATTCTTAAGGACACTGATATCCATCTTTATACAGGGTGTCCCGAAAATTGTATACACACGTAAAATAATTGTAAACATAGTGTTTATTATTATTTCATTCATGTTAAACGGTTACATTATTTATATCAAATGGCAGGCGTTTTGATAGTTTTCATTAGCCCTTTAGTTGACTTCAGGCTTCACGGATGGAAAGCAACATCAAAGTGAAAAAGGTTGAGATGTGGGGGGGGGGGACAGAAGAGTGTTTCAAAGATGCAAAAGAGACAGACACAATGGTAGAGAAAAGGTGAGGTAAGTACTGTGAAAGTAGTCGAATATGGCATAGAGTGGGGTGATGGTAGTTTGAAGTGAGAAGTCAACTACCCATTGATAGACTTTTTGCCGTATGAGTATACGTTGCCCAGGGTGCACCACGCGGAGGTAGGTCTATCGCACACCCCAGTTAAATGGTTGCATTAACTGCTATAATTGTACCTGTTGGGGGACCTGAGAATTCACACGTGTGGTGCGGTTTACCATCAATAGGATTAATTGGACCGTTCTTTTTTTTTGACGCTACTGTAACTGGAACTTTTTGCAGCAGTCTACTATGCCAAGCATTAGAGAAGACTTTGAAGATGAAGAGTTTTATTTGCAGAAAGATGGGGCACCTTCCCCACATTACCATCGCGATGTTAGGTCTTTCCTTGATGAGGTCTTGACAAACAAGTGGATTGGACGAAGTGGTTTTGTTGAATTTCCTCCCCGTTCACCAGACCTCATCACACCACTAGATTTTTTCTTATGGAGATAGTTAAAAGACAAAGTCTACACCACGAAACCTTTAAGAGTCAATGAAGTAAGAGAATCCATTGAGCATGAATGCGTCCGATTCCAAGGCGATTATTTCATTGCAGTTGGAATTGTCAGCAGTGCCTGGATCAAAAGGAGAATAAGCAGTGATAAACAGTAAAAATATTTTACGCTTTTGAAACAATAAAATTCAAATTGAACGCCACGTTTACAATTAGTTACAGTGCGAATATAATTTTTTCGATACCCTGTATTTGTGCGTGTGTACAACTCTAATCGAATGAGTTGAGTTTCATTCTATTTGAAACTCGTTCCTGGAAGTGGGTCTAAAGCTTATCCATCCATGCAGCCAATTTCTCTAAATCATTTATTTAACTGTTTATATCAAATGACAGGCGTTTTGATAGTTATCATTAGCCCTTTAGTTGGCTTCAGGCTTCAAAGAGGGGAGGAGGAACATTATAGTGAACAAAGTCGAGTGGGTGGGGGGGGGGCAGTAGAAGAGTATTTCAAAGATGTAAAAGAAACAGAGGTCAACTGCCGGTTTATAGACTGTTTTGTCGTATGAGTATACGTTGTCCAGGGTGCACCAAGTGGAGGTAAGTCTATTCCACACCCCTTTCTGTACATCATAAGAGCCATGCCAATGAGGTGCTGTACTCAACGGTTTTATTCGCCATATCATCAAGAATTCATTTTTTTTCATTTTACTAAAATCATTATTTCTGTTATTTCATTTTCTATTGGATTGGTAACTAAGTCATTGCCGTTTTTGTTGACGGATTCGCTCTATGCGTGGACAGAGCATCTAACCTATATTTCTTTCTTACTGTACATGGGCTTTTCTTACTGTATGGGCTGGACGGATTCACTCTATACTTTCTTTTGTTTTGTTAACGTGCCAGTGCATCTAACCTTTCTTACTGAATGGGCTTCTAGGTTAATTAGTAAAAAAATTTTTTTGCTTAGTTCTTTAGTTTTGTTTTTATC